AAGACTTTGTTTTTCCCATATTCCCTACTTATTTGTCAATTTTTCGTCACTTTGGCTTCGTGAGACATATTCTACTATAAAAAGACACACACATCAATTTCACATACAATTGAGCCACCAAAACTTATGCAAGGCTCTCAATTCTCTGAGAACTTACCATCCGTATCTGGTGAAACGTACGGCACACAAAGAAACAGAAATCACACTTCCTGCACACACAAAAGTCCTGCACCGTCTCCCCTGCACATACATCCTCCATCGCCAGCATTTCCCTCGCGCGCTCTTTTCTTCTTCATGTACACGCCAAAGAGAAAACGGGAAGACGTGGAATCGTACCAAAAAAAGGTCAAAAACGCTAGCGAACGTGAAAAACAGGCTTATTCAACATCAGAGGAATGGCCTGTATACTCACATCCCGAAGGTGGTATAGTTAAAATTACTCCGTGGGGTTCTTTGCGACAATTTCAAGACCAAAATGGTAACACCGTGACGAAATTTGAAGATAAAGGGTTCCAAGACTACGCTTTTGCATGTGGCAATGGCCAAAACAACGTTTACGAACTTCCCACCACTCCTCAGTCGATGTACAGGTCGTCTCCTGCACCCACATCGATGTCAAATGGTGATAAAATCGACTTTAGCCCGCTGGACGAGGCTGAATCTTATGTGAGAGAAGGATATGGCAGCGACGAGTGGCAGAGTTATGGCCAGGAGCAAGAAAATTACTTTGGCATGCAAAATGACAATGATGCAATGGAATAAAATGTACAATAGTGTATTATAGTTGAGGCAAATACAACTTGTGGAGACTGCCTTTTTAGTATTATGCCAATTGAATTATATGGACAAGACAAATCTTCATGTAAACTCATAGATTGAATTCATATAAGTTGATATCAGTCAGCATCATCACTATAGGATCATATCATATTCATTAAAGGTTTTCATATCTTGATTTATGTTCTATCTTTGTTCAACATCATAATCAACCAGTATAGTTTCAACTCGATCATTTTCAGAGAGTTGAATCCTCATAGTCAACACATTCATATCATACTCAAGTTGTCACACTAACTAGTCCGCTTTGATGCACAACGAACAGTCGACATGGCCCATTTGATGGTGAGGTTTTGTCATATTGAGACACACCGTCTATCAATTCTCCAATAGATATGTAAACATTTTGAGGGTCTTTTTCATAATGCTTCAATTGCAGTTTGCTCATATACTGTTTGAAATTAGAAAGCGTTAACCCTATCGACTGCCACTTGTCAAACGAGTTTAGATCTGGTATACAGTTTGAAATATACTGCTTTTCTAATGTGGTGTAGTATCTGTCGTAGCTGACAAGTTTATAGGAATGCATAGTTTTCGAGTAGTGACATTTGGTATCACTGCTACTACTTTCTGTCGTAGCGACAGACTCTCGGCGCTCAGAGAAAACAGAGTCTGGGGTTGTGCACACGCTTCCATTCTCAGAACACGAACATGGACGAGTATTCAGTGGCTTGATGGTTTCTCCGGTCAGAAAAGGATCATTGAAACAAATTTCGCCGGCGGGAAAGTTTTCTTCGTCTTGCAGTGGTTCCTGTCGGTAAGATGCAGCGGCGGCCGTAGCCACAAGAAGGGCATTATTGAGTCTGGTTTGACGAGATGGTATGCTTTTGACCTTGGTAGCTATTCTAGATTCGAGAGGCGAAGCCAAATCACCTCCAATCAAGATGTTTCGGTACCAATGCACCATGCCGTAAAACGACCAGAATTGGAGCAATATTTGTTTCAATTCGACTCGAAGTCGAAGCACATTTTTGTATTTGACCAAGGTGGAGGTGCTTTGAGGTAACGAATCAATCAGCGTTTCTTTATACATGGCAGAAATCACTTGATTCAACGAAGGAGCCTCTCCAACATCGCAGTTGGCAAGAGTGTACCGGTGAATCAACTCTCCTGCGTACTTTGATTTGAAGTTGTTGGTGATTTCGGTATTGGTCGTTGGTTCGAATAAAAAGCCATTATCCTGAAGCTGTGAGTAAAACTTAGGGAGCATTTTCGCCGAGGCGCCTTGCTTTGCCTTCTGAAACTTCAACTTGACTCTGTCGGACCGGGTCTGCTTAAAAGCCTCGGGAGAAAATGAGGCACCATAGGGGTCATCACCGAAAAGATCAACGTCACTGGTGTCAAGCCAAGGCTTCTTGTCGCGTTTAAGTCTATCATTGTTGATGTTAGCAGCCAAATCATGAAGCAGATTGGCCTCGTAGTATAACGTTTCTATGAGATTAAGCAATTTTTTATCAATGTTCAAATTGTAAAATTTGATTTCTGTCGAATTAATTTCCAAGAAAACCGGGCTCCAACCTCGGTTCCGCGAGTTATAGTGATAAGGAGTTGAAAACTCGGTTTTCATAAGACATAAACCCCCGAAATGAAGAGTTTGTTTGTATTCCGGAAGCGACTCTGACGAGGGCTGGTAGCTGGGCACCAGTTCGCATGCAAGATCATAGGGTGGAGCCGACATAATGGGTAGTAATTAGGAGGGAATCGATCTTTTGGAGTCCAAAACGCTTAAAAAAACATAAGAAACACGTAAAATAAATAACTCAAATGATGGCAAGCCGGGTCACATCTTGGCTCTTTTCGGACCGGACACCGGCCCTGCAGGACTGTGGGGAAACAAGCGAGAAAATATCGGAGTGGTGTGTGGGTGTGCGAGCCGCTCAAGGGAGAAGCCGAAGTCGGTGGGAGGGCGAGGGGAACCAGTGGGGTAAGGGTGGGGAACCCAATTTTTGGGAGCTTAAATTTAGGGTTTTGAAAGGTTACTACCGGCTTACCACCGGATAACTACCGGCCTCGTGGTCACCGGAAGTGTCGTTTAATTGCATTTCTGCATGACTGCCGCACGCCAAAAATATCTGCGCGCTTACTTGCACAGTTTGCTATTGGCTGCAATCCATAGCAATGTCTGCAGTCCCTACTCCGCTCCGAGGCGGCAGCCCAACACCCGTGCTGCACACCAGTGCACCAGCTTGGGGGGTGTGGGCGACTATAGAATGTTCGCAAGCAAGATTGCGCCAGATACACAATGTCTGCACAAGCAAAGAAACACGTCAAGTCTCAGTCGACCTATGTAAGTTTGGAATTGGGGTAATGTGGATGGCGCGGAAACGATAAAGTGATCAAAATGACAATTTTCTCGAACTTTGATTGTCAAAATCGAGTTTTTTTCATTTTCGATTCGTCTATTTGTGTCTCAAAATCTCCATCATTCGCCACTTTAACCGCCTCAAAGCAGCCCCGTATACTCAATTGGCCAATCTCTTCGAGCTACTAACACAGGCGTTTGACAACACCGCCACAAACGTTTCTGCGTCGCAGATGCGGAATGCCTTGAATGCATTGGTCGATACCGTCAAGGATCCAGAAGCCCAAGCCAAGTTTGAAAACGAGATGGATTCATTTTTCGCCTTGTTTAGACGGTATTTGACCGATAAGGCGTCGGGAACCACTCTTGATTGGGACAAAATCAAGTCGCCAAGTGAGAGTGAGGTTGTGCTGTATGACTCTCTCAAATCGGAAACTGCCGACAATTTGAGCAAATTGGCAGTGCTCAAGTTGAACGGAGGATTGGGTACGTCTATGGGCTGTGTGGGTCCCAAATCGGTCATTGAAGTAAGAGATGGCAACACATTTTTGGATTTGTCGGTGAGACAAATCGAGCATCTTAATCGTAAATACGATTCTGATGTTCCTCTCTTGTTGATGAACTCGTTTAACACCGATGCCGACACCGCCAAGATCATCAAGAAGTACCAGGGCCACAGAATCAGAGTGAGAACCTTCAACCAATCGAGATTTCCTCGTATTTTTAAGGACTCGTTGTTGCCGGTTCCCGAGTCGTTTGACGACGAATTGGACGGTTGGTACCCCCCAGGTCACGGAGACTTGTACGAGGCATTGATCTCATCAGGTGAATTGGACTCGCTTTTGGCCCAGGGAAGAGAAATTTTGTTTGTGTCCAATGGTGATAATTTAGGAGCCACTGTCGACACCAAGATTTTGGACCACATGATCGAAACCGGAGCAGAGTATCTCATGGAATTGACCGACAAAACCAGAGCCGATGTTAAGGGAGGAACTTTGATCAATTATGATGGCCAAGTTCGGTTGTTGGAAATTGCTCAGGTACCCAAGGAGCACGTTGAAGATTTCAAGTCGATCAAAAAATTCAAGTACTTCAACACCAACAACTTGTGGATCAACTTGAAGGCCGTTAAAAAGTTGGTGGAGTCAAATAGCATCCAGGCCGAAATCATCCCCAACCAAAAATCCATTTCCAAGGGTAATTCCGAATTCAATGTTTTGCAATTGGAAACCGCCGTTGGTGCCGCCATCAGACACTTTGAAGGAGCACACGGAGTGGTCGTTCCTCGTGCCAGATTCTTGCCTGTGAAAACCTGTTCTGATTTATTACTTGTCAAGTCAGATTTGTTCCATTTGGAGCACGGTGCCTTGAAATTGGACCCAGCAAGATATGGTTTTGCTAACCCACTCATCAAGTTGGGTTCACACTTTAAAAAGGTTTCCGGATTCCTGTCCCGGATAGCTCATATACCCAAGATTGTCGAGCTTGATCACTTGACAATTACCGGAAATGTCACCTTGGGAAGAAATGTCACCTTAAAGGGAACAGTCATCATAGTTTGTAACGATGGTGACAAGATTGATATTCCTAATGGTTCGGTGTTGGAGAATGTAGTGGTTACCGGCAACTTGACCATATTGGAGCATTAGGTTAATATATGTGAGGAAAGAATAGCGTAGGAAAGAGGAAGAATAAGAAGAATAAGAAGAATAATAAAGGAGTAGAAAAAAGTAGAAAAAAAAAATTAAAAACTATAAGGATATTGAAGTGGAATGAATAATTTCGTTTCAATAATTTCAATTTCGCATAAATTCACTCAACTCGCTCATTTCGTTTCCCTCATCTTTTCTCCCAAGCTTCGTTCCTCATGGCCCAATGGTCAAGGCGTCTGGCTACGATTACGTAACCACTTCCGGTTGGAACCAGAAGATTCCAGGTTCGACTCCTGGTGGGGAAGCTTATTTTTTACGCTAACTGGTTGGTTAAACTTGATGGTTCACTTCAATTGGATTATTTCAAGTCGATCATTTATTCCTGGATAGCTCATAGCTCACTCCGGTAGCAACGCAATTGTCATATCTTCCAAACCGGAAACATCGTATCACGTGACTATTTTGTCATCACCAGATTTCAAATGACAGACCTCTACAATTTCAATGCTTGCAGAACCAATAAATCTCCAGTCTTGGATCTCCGAAAACAAGGATTTGCTCCAGCCTCCCGTAAACAACTACTGTCTTCACCGGGGAGGTGCTACAGTGATGATTGTGGGCGGTCCCAACGAAAGAACCGATTATCATGTCAACCAAACCCCGGAATATTTTCACCAAATCAAAGGAGATATGACTTTAAAAGTTGTGGATGACGGCAAATTCCGTGACATTACCATTCGGGAAGGAGATTCGTTTTTGTTGCCCGGAAATGTGCCTCATAATCCGGTCAGATACGCTGATACAATTGGTCTTGTAGTAGAACAAGATCGTCCTAAAGGTGTCAATGATAAGATCCGGTGGTACTGTCTGAACTGTAGAGAGATTGTTCATCAGGTGGAGTTTTACTGTTATGATTTGGGTACCCAAGTGAAAGATGCGATTTTGGCATTTGATGGAGACGATGAGGCACGAACATGCAAGTGTGGAACTTATAACTACTCGCGGCCAAATTAGGATTCCGGATCAATGTATATAGGAGAGACGAGACGAGATGAGAGACGACACGAGAGACAAGGTACGAGAGACGAGACAAGACGGACAACATTTCTATTCATATTATCTTTACTGAAAATTGATATTACCTCATATAAATATATACTGAATATGAAACATCCAAAGGTAAGATAAAATATAAGACAATATGATTGTTCGTAGACTAAGAATACGAGTGTATGGCTCAAATCCTCCACCTCTCTATTTCTCTCTAAACATCTCCTCGCCCTTGTCGAAAACCCAATCAACCACCATTTCCACCGGCTCGTCAAATACATATGGCAAAAGCGGAACTATACCCAACCCCACGCCCACGGGTCCATACGTACGCAATTGTTTGATTTTAGTGTTCTTAAACATAAGCGACGAGTACCGCACAGCAGAATGGATCGTGAAAGCGGGAAGTCCCATCGATGCAATGGACTGGAAAATGCCTCGTTTGAGTCCCACCAACCGCCAGTCGGTATCTACAAGCTTATCGCTGGCACCATCTCGGTAGATCTGGGCTGCCACAGGATTTGCTGGAGGGTATGGAAAATTCCATGGTTTCAAGTCAGAGGTGTACCGACCTTCTGCTTTCATCTTTGCCTTCCATGACAGATACAGCACATCCCCAATGATATAAAGCCACGACACTCCATAACCAAGCTTCACAAGGTATGGGTGGGCAACAGGACGAAAAGACTCACCAATATCAGAAGTATAGGCAACATACCGATGAGAGGCAAGAAGAATTGTCCGAAACCTATTAGCGTATGCTGCGTATCTAAGGCTTGAGTCTTGAGTTGGGTCGTCCAGGATTCCGGCGGCACCGCCAGCTTTCGTTTCTAAAGCTTGTTCGACCTGGTTTACTTGCTCGGAGATGTTGGGCATGATGAGGGCAAATGATTGGAATAGCAGCAATATGACAGAGAGATAATACATGCAGTACAGAACAGTGAGATAGCAGAATATGCAGTACGAGTGCGATAATACATGCACACCAAATACTGAAAGTGCGATCTTGGTGCCTCCTCATCATGAAGTTCAGTATAGTGGTGCGTTTCAGCAACTCCGACAGCCGCCAGGCCCCGATTCGAGATCTTGTGGTGCCCCTTCTGATCAATCCAGAAACTGAAAATGTGAATCGACTTGTAACGGTATCTTGGTTACGCAACACCATTCGAGACCAAGTTCCAACCATTGCTAATCGAAGATTGAGACTCATTGTAGATGGACGCGTGCTCAACGAAGCCACAGATTTCCGGCGCGATGTGTTTTTGCCACGGATCAGACGAGAAACTTCTCCTAACATCGAAAACGACGACCCTTTACCCATATTTGTTCATTGTGTTGTTGGCGATATTCTCACCAGAGAACAATTAGCGCAAGAAAACGAGTTGGATAGACCGCAGGAACGGTCTACAGCGCCAGAGGTGATCGGGTTTGACCGGTTGCTTCAACAGGGTTTCAGTGCTGACGATATAGCCGATTTACGGCGCCAGTTTCTGATGATTTATGACGGCGACGATCCCCACCAAAGTGGACCCATCAGTGATTTGGAGGAAGAGGAACAGCGTAGCAGAAGGGCACGAATGCTAGAAGAGCGGTGGATAGAATCTACCGTTCCTCAAGTGGGACTGGGTTTGGGCGAACGACCTCCGGCCTCCACCGACACCACTGATGCTCGAGAAGACGATGTGCCCGCTCCAGATTTGGACGACCGTGGCGGCCACGAAGATGTGGTTCTCGGTCTTCTTTTGGGCATGTTTCTTGGCGCTCTCAGTGTGGTGTTGCTTGTGGTGGATGATAGTGTGTTGAATAGTCGCCAGAAAATGGCAGTGGCAGGCGGGTTGTTTTTCAACTTTTCGCTCTCGGTAGCGAGGGGACAGTGGATATGAGAAAAGAGAGAAAAGAGAAGAAAAAAGAAGAAATTGAGCATTTGAAGAAAGGGTTGTCTCAATTTATGATTGGAAATCGTCGTTCGGAACTGGAGTCTCCACTTAAACTGAATGAAATTGGTCCACTTTAGGAACTGGAACCAGCCAGTTTGATGTTCCAAATTAGAGAACAAAGCCTGAAATGCTAAAAATGCTGAACAATTGAAGATCACTAGAACCTCAAACAGCTACAGACAAGAAACTGAAGTACCATGAGCAAAAGTGCTTTATCCGTTGCTGTCGACATTCCTAACAGGTTTTACTTTCAACAGTGAACCCTGAGATCCTTGTCTGGTTACTTCTAATTCTATTTCAGTACTCTACAAATGTTTGACCTTCCAGCCCGCACTAGATTGTGGATTCAATCTAATGACAGGGCATTAAGATGGCCGTTCTCCTGATGGATATCGTTCTCGCCAAGAACTTGACGCTCGCCAACTCGTTGGGATATCTGAAAATGACAAGCAACACGGTAATAGTTCTGGCTGCCGCACAAAGAAATAGTTGATATTTTTGACTTTTATAATGGGCGATGAGGTTACCCGGCACCAAAGACACCGGTACACCGGTACATTATAAGATATGAAGCAATAAGCCCTATATATAAATACTACACCTTTTGCATCTTTTGTGCCCGGATATTTCGGTAGAGAAAGTCTCCTGAAAAGTACACAAGAAGTGCTGCCACGAAAATGAGCAAAAAGATCCACACTGCCGCGAGGTTATTAGCCTTGGCAGCAGTAGGACATGCATGGTGCGACCGAACCTCAAACATGTAGTTGCAGTCGTCGAAAGAACCCACGTAGGAAATGCTGGCCTTGGCAAGCATATCTCGGTCGCAAGTGAATGTAATCATGGTGGAACGACGTACCGGTAACCCGGTGCTACGATCCACCAAGTTTTCGCAATATGATCCATTGTAATATTTTAGCGTAAGTTTTCGTCCTCTTACTACGGGTGTAGTGGAGAACTCGCCGAGCGACACGTACTTTCCCGACTTTGTATCCATGTAGTAACCGCCTACCAATGTCGAATTGACACCATCTTGCATTTCTCGCGGCCCATTATGAGACTTCTTGAATGGAGTGGAACATATTCCCAACGTGAAATTACGGCCATAATCATAGCCCTTGGTGGTCCATGGCAACGCCCGGCCCTCATTGCCCAATGAAGAAAGCCCCCTCAAATCTATAAACCCATGAGAGTGGGGGTTGATGATAGTACATGGATCCAGTGCCTCGTCCTGCGCGACAGCTTCGGAAATTTCTTGATCCTTTCCAAGCTTTTTGGCCTTTTCTAGCATGTACTGTTGATGGTTATTATCTGAGAACCCGGTAAGATGCGGAAAATGGGTTAAAGCATCAAGAAAATGATGTTGCAGTTGGAGATTGGATTTATCTGCTATGGAATCGAGGTAATATATGACTACTATGATGGCCACCATCACAGCCACGGCAACTAGCCGTAACTGAACACGTAACATCGGCTTTGTCGTTAATGGTGGTATGTAGATGTAAAGAAGAGTGTTGATTTTTGGCGCGAGACATCTAATGGAACTGGTGTCTGGGTGTGAAAGATAGCAAAATAGAGTAGAATCAAAATGCCATTGAGAAAAGAAAAAGCACTGAAACCTGGGTATATCAGAGATGTAAGGCTCCTTAGTACTTTTCTCAATTTTCACCGATTTTCCTCGGCCACTCTTTAATTTGGTGCAGCTTCCTCATCGAGCGCTTCGCTCCTGCAGATGGCGCAAAGTGCTCCCCGAGTTGTCTCTTCATTTTATATCTTGCCCCCTTTTAATTGCACCATGGACTGGGGAACTACGGCCGTGGACACCTCATATGGGTTTGGCGTGCCCGGAATAGCGTCTCAGCATTTTTCGGAGGTTACAAACCACAAAAAGCAGCTTCAATTGTCGCTCGAAAATCACGTTGATGACAACGGAAATCACCATGAAAAATTACTATTGGCGGCTTGTGATGGAGACATAGTTACCTTGGAAAGCGTTCTTCGCGCCAGTCCTCACCTTGTGAACGAACCGTATCCGCTGGAAGATGGAGTCACACCACTAATTTATGCCGTTTGCTACGATCAACATACCATCGCCGAAGCACTCTTATTCGACCATCGGGCCGATCCCGATATATGTGATACACTTTCGGGGCTGGGGTTCACCCCGTTTATGTGGGCAGTCCACTTGGATCTTGTGGAAATGGCCCGCTTATTGTTGAATTATCAGGCGGATCCGTACGTTGATCCTCGCGGAGATGGCACCACAGCAGTGACACTTTTGAACCCAGAAAGGGAACAAATGTATGCTTTTTTCAGGTCAC